TTATCCGCACGCAGACACACACACACACACACACACACACACACACACACACACACACAGAGAGAGCCAAGCGACGCACAACACCCCTCTCTCTCTTTCTCTCTCCCTCTTTCTCTCTCTCTCATTTTTTATTCTCACACACACACACACACACATAGAGAGAGAGCATTGCTTGCGTGCTCGCTCACTTTCAAATTACACCATTGTTACCGACTGCTCCTGCGATTTATTCGGAAATTTACTCCTGCACCACAAAAAATCTGGACGGCTCCCGCGGTTCAGCAGCGGGAATACAGAGAGCTGTAATGGGGCTCGAGTCGAGCCCGACAGGTACATTTTGGTTGACAGCTTTTTAAAAGCCTGAAGCCGTTTACAGACCGACATTATACAAATGTGCACATGCGCACAGCTCTTTTGCCTTTTTTTCCAAGAATGAGTCATTTATATGTTTTAACATAATTTATTCGTAACAAACGTAGGCCACTTGGAAGTTGAAACAAAGAAGTAAAATAAGTCCTCTGTAACATCGTAACATCTCAGCATTCTAAATAGGTCGAGGTACATGCACTTAGCCTTTTAAATTGGCCAACACACCAATGAAAGGAAGTCTTGCACAACAAATTAAAATAAAATAAATTCTAAATGATGACGGGTATTTTGGCAATAACGAAATTAAGATAAAGGCTGTGCAAGATTTGTTTTGCCACTTCTTTTCACAATCTGGCTTTAAGGCGACGGTGAAGCTGAATATTAAAAGAATAATGCCAACATTAGCCTGTATACATTATGAATATGATCATATGGGTTAATTAATATTCATTTATAATTTAAAAACCCTTTTCTCACCAAGATTAGGCTACGTGTTTTTGTGGAGAAACATTATTAAATCCACTGGCTTTAGCGCAGTTCTGCACTTAGGATGGTGCGTCCAGCAGCACTGACCACCCTTTCTGTTCTGATCTGGCTAATTTTGCAAGATTTGTAAAATTAAAAGTTTAAAAAATAAACTTTAAAAGTTGAACTTTAGAAGTTGAACTTTAAAAGTAGGATTTTGTTTTCATCTATTTAGAGTGCTGAGATGTATGTTACAGGGATATCCATTTAATTTTCCATGACAGCATTATCAATGTTGCGAATCACCTCGTCTTTTTACCTGTCAGCTTGCGGTTTAGCGCTCTACCGTAATACGCAGTGTATAAGCGACCGCCGAAATACCTTGGCGGCTAGAATGACCATTCCTTCTGAACTAGTGACTGGCTTGACTAGTGACTTTTTTACTTCTCCGTCATCATTTGTTTCATCTTTGCAGGGATGGATTTTAATGCAAGCATTTGAATTTTTTCGGGTCCCGCTGGGTTCGGGCAAAGATCTTTATGCGCTATACGCTCTAATGCAGACCTCTAGTTCATATTTACCATGTCTCCCTTCTCGTTCAGTCGAAACCGGAAATACTGCCAAACTGCAGGTCACTTCAGAACGCGACTCGTCACTTCACCTCTTCCTCTCATTCTCTCTCTTTCTCTCTCACTCTCCTCCACACTGTCCCATTATAACATACGTTGTAGGGATTAAATAAAGGATATTTAATATTTTATGATGGTATAACGGTATTGAAACTGACACCGTTGCTATTTTTAGATCCTGCAGTATACCATAATACTGTAATACCGCCCAAGCCTACCATGAGGAATAAGTATTCATAAGCTTGTGATTCAGTATTGATTAATTTGAAAATAGATATTGTCCAATTTTATTGTTTACAACATTTGTTAGTAAAATTGTGCTATTAAAGATCAAATTGTATTAAATACTTACTTTTTTTCTGCAGCAGGTCTTCTTTAAGGTAAGTTAACTGAAAGTGTATAATAACTTGTATATTACCATCCACTTTTTCCTAAACTCTGTCTAGTCAGTGATACTGATGAATACTGTCGATTGACTAACATTAGATGAAATACGTACAAGATATTAACAATACATGTGTTCAAAAGTATGTGCACAGCTGAGACGTGCACAACTGTGTTCTCCATCGCGTCTGCATCCAGATGGACATGGTGGACATACAGCTAATCTGACTAGACAAAGTTTAATACTAGCAGTCGTAACATAATCAGATGGGAAATGTGGATGGTAATACACAAGTTATTATACAGTTTCAGTTAACTTACCTTAAAGAAGACCTGCTGCTAGCCATTAGCTCTCTCCTGTCACGGAAGACAATTCCAACTGCGTGAAAATGTAATGGGCGTGGCCACCTGTGCCCTCAATCAAGATGACCAATAGAATAAGGTGTTTCATAAGATCCCGCCCACTGAGCTGCAGTTTTCAACTCGCAAAACTTTTCAACTCAAAAGCAAAGATTTTAGATCCGCAAAAATGAAACAAAACCGAAAGCAAAATGAATGAGCACACAATGAATTAATCTGGTGGTAACTGCATAAAATGGCAATAGTTTATTTTTTGCAGTGTGATTTTTATTTATTTATTTTTTTTAAATAAATGTTTTTTATTATTTGAAATCTTTTATTTTTTAATTACATTGTACCTAGTTTTGGTCAAAAACTTCATATGTTTGTTTGAATAATAAAGGCACAAAAACAACCCAGCATTCATGGGTTCAAAACTTTTCAACTCACAAGCAAAACATTTCAACCTGGAAGCAAAGATTCTAGATGTGCAATAAAAGACAGCAGAAAAGTGAGCAAAATTAATGAGTGTGCAATGAAAATTGTGGTAACTACATAAGAGGACAATCATTGACATAAGTTCTTAAATTAAACATGTTTTTTATTTGAAATCTTTAATTTTTTAATTACTACATACTTAATTTTTCTTTAAAACTAAATATTTTTGATTAAATAATAAAGAAACAAATCTAGCTCCATAAGTAAGCAACAAGAACAACCACCTAACATCGACAATGGTGTCCGTATCCCTCAAAGTTGTTTAGAATTAGATGTTTAGAGAGAGATGTTTATTGGAGTTGCATACATTGCTCAGTTGTGAATTTTTTTTTTTTTTTTTTTAAATCTTCAAAAGTCTAAAAATCTTGACAGTTCTGTTGGTCTCATCTATCAACTTTGAGTTTTTAGTAGGGCTGCTCGATTTTGGTAAAAATCATAATCATGATTATTTTGGTCATAATTGTAATCACGATCATTCCAAACGATTATTAGTTAATTATTAGTTCTCAGCGCTCCTGAGAATTTTTTAAAAATAAATACTTCCCAAATTATGTTTAACAGAGCAACAAATTTTTACAGTATTTGCTCTAATGAAAGGCTTATTTGTTTTGTTTTGACTAGAGTAAAAGCAGATTTAAATATGTTGAAAACTCTTTTAAGGTCAATATTATTAGCCCCTTTAGTCAATATATATTTTGATTGTCTGCAGAAGAAACTACTGTTATACAATGACTTGCCTAATTACCCTAAGCCTTTGAATCACACTTTGAATTTGAATGTTTGTATTTAAAAAAATATCTACTAAAATATAATGTACTGTGATCATAGCAAAGATAAAATTAATCGTTTATTAGAAATGAGTTATTAAAACTATTATGTTTATAAATGTGTTGAAAAAAAAACTTATTTCCGTTAAACAGAAATTGGGGAGGAAAAGGGTTGCTAATATTCAGGAGGGCTAATAATTCTGACTTCAACTGCATATATTATTTTCCTCCCTGCAAAGGAAAGAGAAATCAATACAATAAAATAAAAATATGAAACAAACTGTGCTTTTAGCATCTTCACTGTAAGAAAAACACTTAAGATACAAAAGTCCTTCGGTCAAGAGCAAAGAGGGATTTTCTCGTTGTTTTATTAATCATGATAAAACAGGGGGCAGCTATTGTGCTCTGTCACTTTAATGGTTTCGCTTTCACGCGTCTTTTGATTCTTAACTCGTTTGGTTATTACACAAATGAGGGTTAATATGAATAATCACTAAACACTGCGTTTTGATACCTATTTGAAAATTAAAGCGCTCATGTTAATGACTTAAGATGTGTGTGCTCTCTGCTCATTGCAATGTGCGAATGAGACCAAGTGCTGACCGCATGCTTCTGACTGTGTCTGTGCGCCACAAACATGCACATAAGCATACGGTCTTTCGCGCTTTTAAGAGCAACAAGTGAGTATAACTGGAAAGGGGCGATAAATAATGGAATAATCGTTTATCTCGATTAATGGTTTTTCATAATCGTTAGAAGCCATAATCGAAATCGGATTTTCGATTAATTGCACAGCCGTAGCTTTTAGATCTCATTTTCTATTGGGTTCAGGTCAGGTGGCTGGCTAGGCCATTCTATCAGCTTTATTTTCTCTTTCTGCAACCAGTTGACCATTTTCTTGTAAAAATGTCCACCCTGGTTTCATCATTATCATCTGGTATTGTAGGTGCTGAGACTGAAGCAGCTAATATTAATTTACACTGATGAGGGGCAAGGCTGTTTTTTAGCTACTTAGAGATTTCAACTACTGTCTGGGCTTTCCATGCCTTTTTACACCTCCCTTTCTTCATGTACTCAATACTTTTACCTTGTCATTTCATTTTATAACACATAGCTCAATTTCTAAACTATTTAGTTTTTTTTTTGTATGTATGGATTACTTTGGTTGTTACCAACTTCTGGTGCCATTTTCAAGTCAACAACATCATCTTTTACAAATGTATTTTCTGAGAAAAACAGTGACATGTATAAACCCTGGACTGATTGTTGCTGTAAATTATATCAATTGTACTACACCATCACAGAACAGACAGCCATTTCTTAGACAAGAATATAAAATTCCTCTATTATTATAATTAATTTCTCTTTCACATGTCTTTTAGCTTCTTAATAGCTTGCACTGTGACACTGGTGCGTGTAATAGTGCTGTGACATGAAATGTGTGTGTGTGTGTGTGTGTGTGTGTGTGTGTGTGTGTGTGTGTGTGTGTGTGTGTGTGTGTGTGTGTGTGTGTGTGTGTGTGTGTGTGTGTGTGTGTGTTTTTTTTCAGGGGAAAATTCCACAATGTCCAGCTTTACGACATCCTCCCCAGAAAGTACGGTAAGTACAGATTTTTCAAGGTTTAGTTGTACGTTTCTTTCCTTTATCCATTTCTCAGCCTGTGAATTAAAATGTTTGTTTGTTTTTTTCCCTCAATTGCTAAGACACTAATACCATGCTTTTGGTATGAATTCTGTTTGAATAAATCACTTTTTCTGTGAAACCAAGATGAAGTTCATTTGAGACAATTTCTAAATCTCAGACCCTCAAATCGTATGATGAATTAGAAAGTGTACTGTTTCATATTATTGGCTATCGTTTATTTTTGTGTTGTCACAAAATTAGGGCTGCACAATATTGAAAATTTTTTACATTGCAGTATTTATTTATTCTGAGATATCAGGGTGTCTGCAGGGTCTTAAAAAGTCTTAAATTCACAGAAATATTGTGTTGTAGGTCTTAAATAGTTTTAAACAGGTCCTAATTTCTCTATGTCTAAGTAAAACTAGCCAGTCAGCCTGACACCCAATCACCAATAATTCATCTCAACTTTAAAAATATATATATATTTTTTCAAGTGTTTTTTTTTATTATTGCAAAGAGATACAATTCACAACAGCTGTCAGACTTTTTTAAAATCTATTTACTGAAGTAACTGGGCCAATAGAAAAAAATCCTTGGTGTTTAGTCTGCATAAGTCTGGATATACAGTTGAAGTCGAAATGATTAGTCCTCCTGTTGATCTTTTTTTATTACATTTTTTTCAAATATTTTCCAAATTATGTTTAACAAAGCAAGGGATATCCACAGTATTTCCGATAATTATTTTTTCTTCTGGAGAAATTCTTATTTGTTTTATTGTGGCTAGAATGAAAGCAGTTAAAAAAAAAAACATTTTAACGTCAATATTATTAGCCCCTTTAAGCTATATATATATTTTCGATTGTCTACAGAATAAACCATTATCACACAATGATTTGCAAAACTACCCTAACCTGCCTAGTTAGCCTAATAAACCCAGTTAAGCCTTCAAATTGCACTTTTAGCTGAATTCTAATATCTTGAAATTTATCTAATAAAATATTTATTGTCATCATGGCAAAGTTAAATTAATCAGTTATTAGAAATGAGTTATTAAAACTATTATGTTTAGAAATGTGTTGAAAAATATTCTTTCTGTTAAACAGATTTTTTTTTGTTATTGTTGTATCAAAGATCTAACATTGAAATAAATGTTAGTAAATACTATAATTTTAGTAAACTACTAGAGTCAATATTTTGTGGCAATTTCATAGTTGCCATAGTAATACAACAGCTTGTTAAGTGGTGACGTATAAATACTGTTTCTGGGCTCAAGCTTATGCTCTTTTGAATTGAGTAAATATTCGTTTATGACCATTTTTTAGTCATCTCACACATTAAAGTGAATTTTATATAAAATCATGGTGTACACAACAGTCTCTAGACTTTCACCTTGCTCCATTTATAAAAAAATGTATCACTTTCTGGCCATCGGATATTAAGCATGGATATCTATCTATCTATCTATCTATCTATCTATCTATCTATCTATCTATCTATCTATCTATCTATCTATCTATCTATCTATCTATCTATCTATCTATCTATCTATCTATCTATCTATATCTATCTATCTGTCTGTCTGTCTGTCTGTCTGTCTGTCTGTCTGTCTGTCTGTCTGTCTGTCTGTCTGTCTGTCTGTCTGTCTGTCTGTCTGTCTGTCTGTCTGTCTGTCTGTCTGTCTGTCTGTCTGTCTGTCTGTCTGTCTGTCTGTCTGTCTGTCTGTCTGTCTGTCTGTGGCTAAACATATTGTGTTTATACAACAGTTCGACGACATAATAGTGTATATAAAAAAGTAAATCAAATACGGAGTCTAAGAACCCTTTTTTATTAGCAACTACTTTTTTCCACTATCCACGTGCAGCTGTCGTCAAAAACATCAGAAGCCATTACTAATTCACCAACATCACTTTACGCTATAGAGAATCTTTCAAATTCTAGCTCTAATGTCTAAAGTGATGACAAAAACAGCTGATTTTGCTGACATTTTAAGATTACAGGGCAGAACGTGACATGAAATGCCATCCATCTACAGACATATCTCCTTACAGTATTAGTCTATTAAAGTCTACAGTATTTCTTTGTTGCAATCGGGATGTCACAATAATTAACCCTGAAAACAGCAGCGATAAGGAAAAACACTAAACACATAGGGGCATTTCTTCTTTCTTTCTGCCAACACAACACGCATTTCTGATGTGTGAGTCCCATCTCACACTAAATACGCCACAGTTATATGGTTTAAATACAGCACCACAACATGCAAAAGAGAGTGATCGACTTAGAATATCACTTACCAAGGTGTAGTTAGAAATTACGCCACTTTAATCTTCTAAGGGCTTATTATGCGGCCCTGTCGCCATTTTGTGGATAGACTATAGCCCCTTTAACACAGTAATACTGGTAAATATCCGGAAAATTTCCGGAACGACTTTACCGGTATATTCAAAAAAGCGCTGTTCACACAGGCGAGGACGTTACGGATATTTTCCGGAAAAAAGCATTCACACATCCATTCCAAAATACCGATAAATTCTGACATCATTCACCACAAATGAGCTTTAAACGGCTGCGCTTGTATTTGTAAACATTTGCCTAAATTACAAACTCTGTGGATGATCAATATTGTGAACAACTTTCGCAGGATCACTTTCGCATGTCGAGATGTTCATAATATGTGCGTGTGCAGGCGCTCACAGGCACACGCAAAGCTTGAAGGTAAACAAACAACGGCTTATCATAAGCATCTCATCGATGATTATTTACACAGTTGGCATAAAGAAGAACATATAAACGTGATCTGACTAACTTCTAGCAGCTAAATGTGTCTGGAAAAATATTCAAAGGTTTTTATTCTCACAAACCGCGCGGACGTAAATGCGTCTGACTGTTGTAATTTGCTAAAGCAGACGTCTCACGTCAGCACGTTCTAGACGTGCACGCGCTTATTACGGTAATCTTCCTTTTGCGTTCACACAGCGCAGCATTCCGGCAAATTGCCGGTAATGTTACAACTTCTCGTTCTGGAAAATAGCCAGAACGAATTTACCGGTATTTTCAAAAAGGACCTGTTCACACATACAACCTTTCCGGAAAATTGCCGGCAATTTTCCGGAAAGGTCTGTATGTGTGAAAGGGGCTTATGTCAACCGTCTTTGCTCAAAGACAGGCTAATGGCTGCTGACGCGCTACATTCTCAACTAAAAAATCCTCAAAAGTACATTATGTTGCTCATTTGTTGAGACTCATTTGTTGAGTCTCTCCACACAGTTTGATAGAGTGCTTGGACCCAGAAGCTTAATGTCAGACTTAACAAGGGCATAGTAACAGAAACCAAATAGCCAATACTGTAGATTTCACTGCAATACACCAGTTTATTGTAGTTAAACTAAAGTGTACAACAGTATTTATTAGAGTTTATTAATTCACTAGTTTGAATACTACAGTATGCAGTAGAATTTATTATCAGAGTGTTCTAGATACTATAATACACACAGTGTAATCATCCACACTGTTGTATTTATTTCTGAATTTTTAAATTAAATTTCCACCTTAAAGTCTTGGGATTCTTTGGCATGTCATAGTCTGAAAACATCAGATTTTTCCATCCTGTAATTGCCTCATTTTGAATGATAAACATTCTCACATTTCTTTCTTTGTCCAGGGACCTAATATTGTGGCCATCGTTGTACCAACTGTGGTGCTGGGCCTGCTGGCTATTTTGACGGCGGTTCTGGTGTTTCTGTTCTGCGTGGTGAAAAAGAAGAGACAGACAGAGGGCACGTATCGACCCAGCGCAGAGGAGCAGACGGGAGCCAGAAGTGTAGAAGCGCCAGACGCCCTCAAACTACCCAAAGAGGAAAGACTGATTTGACGCAGTGGTTTATGTCTAACCCGCAGCACGTGATAATGGTGACTCAATCCCTAAACGGATAAACATTAACCAAAACACACTGAAGGCACAATGTCCAAACTTAGCCATGTGTTGTGGCTAAACAAAGTGAGTTTGACTACTATATGAAACTTGAAGGAATTCATATCTTCTACTCTCAACATATTTTAACACGCCTTTGACAATCATATTTTTAGATTGGCTTTTCTCAGAATGCACATTTTATGCTGTGCTTACTGTTGCTTTACACACTTAAACGCTGATGTTTGTGTGTGGTGATATTTTTTAAAGGTGGAGTGTGCCGTTTCTGCCCCTAGTGGCACAAAAAGGAATTGAAATCTGTTTGTTTTTGCATCTAGGAGTTTAACAGCATCAGCTCAACCAGTGGGGGGAGTTTGGGGACATGACTATCTGTCTATCTGACTAATAATTTTACCATCATTTTTTTTAAAGACCATTATTTTTGCTTTTATGTTTGCTGGTGTTAGATATTGCACACTTCACCTTCCAATATACACAGTGCTCAGCATAAAAGAGTACACCCCATTTCGAAAATGAATATTTTTATCCATTTTCAGTGAACAAAACTGATTTATCAAACAGAAACATTTATCAAAATAATATTTTAGATACAGAACATCTTTATGAATGTAAAGATAATACATTTAAATTGATGCAAATATTGCAAAAATAAGTTACAAATTACAACATTTCTGCAAACTTTTATATATTTTTTGTTTCTTTAGTTTTTTGCTATTGTTGAAAAATGTGTTTAATATTTTTCCCCTACAAAAGTTTGGGATACTCATTTTGGACCGTTATCATAAGTTATTTTGTTAGATATGCTCCAGATTTGGCTTCAGCACTGACTGAACTAATGTATATGATGGAAAATATTCATGTAAATGAGAGATCCGTGAGGGGTGTACTTATATATGCTGAGCACTGTATTTATTTACAGGTGAAGGCAAAATTATTAGCATTCCTGTGAAGCTTTTAATTCTGTTTTTTTTTTTTTTTTTTTTTTAATATTTCCCAAGTGTGGTTAAATGTAATTAAATTTTTAAACAAAATAAGGCCTATCATACACCCGCCACAATAAGGTGCAAGACCGGTTTGCGCCATGTTGTTTAAATGGCAAATCCATTTGTGCCACTTTGTGGACTCGTGTGCCAGTCTTGGATGGAGGTGTGTTCAGGTGCATTGTGCTTTACTATTTTAAGGAACTAAAATAGACTGTGCAAATGACCAGCTGCAAGCATGTCTCTGTCCAGCGCAGAGTTAGTTGTGCGACTTAAACGTGTACACATTGCTTAATAGACACAGGATGTATAGCAATACACAAATATCTTTACAGTTTTCAGTTTATTCATTACAACTTGCTTTTGTATAGTTATTATTATTAATTATATGCATAGTTATATTTGTTTTATTAAAAACAAGTTTAGATTTGTCCACCTGTCGGGTTTTGCACCATATGGGGCAAAAGAATAGGATAGAACTCAGTGTTTTGACCACACTTTATTATCATTGTTCATTTATTTGTTTGCTGGAAATTAGAACTGAATTTAGAAATAGTTTTAAAACAAAGTTTTTGCACTTAACTAACAAAATTAAATATGTAGGCTGATGGATGTCTTAGTGGAGCACGTACAACACTGTTTCCTTATCCACAAAAGTGAAGAAGTGAAGAGAAAGAGAAAGTAAAGAGGCAGAATAAAGGAGACTCATTCTTCATCCTCGCGCTCCAGATGGTCTGTTTAACTGTTTTCTTGCTAGTGAAGCGTTCAGTTTTTCCACTTACAAAGTCCGCCATGCAAATAGCAAGTGCGCCATGGTGTGACGCAACTCACTCTTAAAGGGAGTGGGAGATGAGACTAGTTTAATGCATGTTATGCTCAAAACACACCCATAACTCATGAAAAGAATAAGGACAACACTATTAGACCATGCGCCGCAGCGCAAAAGCGTATTTTTCCTTCCTTGAAATAGCATCAGTGGATTCGGACACGCCCTTAATGCTCTTGCGACATGCGCTGTAGTCTTTGTGCCTACACAGTAAATTTGAAATCCGGAAATTAACACCAATAGAGTTAATTTCAACACTTTAAAAGTGTATATATGGGAACCACCCGCAAAGTGTTAATTCAACACTTTCAAAAGTGTTGCCTCTTTAACACCAAAACAGTGTAAAATTATTAACACTATAAGAGTGAAGTATTAACACCAATGCAGATAATAACAACAACACTGCTACAGTGTTGCCTCTTTTAACACCAACACAGTGTCAAAATATTAACACTATAAGAGTGAAGTATTAACACCAACGCAGATAACAACAACACTGCTACAGAGCTAGGAGGAACTTTGTTGCAAACTCTGACAGAGTTAAAATCCTACACTGTTCAGGAGTGAACACTGTTCAAAAAAATAAATAATAAATAAATCACAATCTATTCAAGCTTATAGGAATCAAACATTACATTACTTAAATGTTGACAGTACTATTTAAGAAATGTTACTTTTTTATGGATAACTATATTAAGGCTTCTAAATTTTTTTATTTAAAAATAATAAATTCACTGTGAAGAAAACACATCTTACTACATTACTCTTTCAAAATTTTATTCCAACATGGAACACCAAGCCACCAATAAAATTACTTTACAAGTAACAGTCCAAAACAATATAAAATGAACTGTCATTGCCATATGTCATTTGCAAATCAAATGGCTTGTAGTAAAACAATTGTTCTGTTTTTTTGAGAACAAGGCTGTGCTCTTGTGCAAAAACCCTGAAAGCATGGAGATGTTCAACAAACTCTGATTCCATACATGAGACCAAAAAATAAACTCCATCCTTGATCAAAATTTGAACAATCTTTCCAAAGACTGGTACATCCTCAACCAAATCTAAGCAAACAACAAGATTTTTTCGATACTCCGTACCATGACACTTTACCCAAGGAGTGATAGTTACTTCACTAGAGAGATCAATGTTGAGTTGCTCTGAAATAAAATCACACTTTTCAAGATCAGACAACAACTCATTTGAAACAGGACCAGATTCAATACCCCTCGATGTACAGGATTCCCAGTAATAGGCTATTGCCAGCTGGTGTTTTTTTGCAAGCGATTTGGTGAGGTTTTTGAAGTTTTTTAAATTTTTCTTAAAAAACCTGTGTTTTGCTTCGTACCTCATCGTCCATACATGAATCAATGGGCCAATTTGCCTGATGCATTCAGGGTAGTGAATCATAAGGTGATGCTTCGGAATCAGATTTCTAGAAGGATACAAGTCTTTGAACAACCGATGGTGCTCCACTATCAGATGCTTCAAAAATATGATCATTCCTTCAGAAATGCAATGAGAAAACACAATGTCAACAATTTGCAAGAGCAGCAACATCAAATGCCAGTGCTTATCTCCCTCTGGAACTACATCTCCAAATATGAGAGGGATGTTCCTGATGAGACACAATGTCTGACTTGCATTAAGTCCAATACTGTTTCCTGGGTGCTGAAGGTTGACCTTGGTTGGGCGGTTATTTCGGTCCAAAAAACCATAGTTGAAGGCATACAGTCTTTGAGGAATGGAATCACAAGGTATTAGACCGCAACTCATATATTCAAAAAGCAGTTTTACTTCATACTGTGCCACTCCCTCCAGAATATCATGCATAATGTCCAGCACAAAGTTCTCAGATACATTAAAGTAAGTCAAGGTGTTGAGTATAGAATTTCTTTTAATACCATAACAGGAGTTTTCATTAGGGTTGTCAGCAAGATACTTGTAATGCTTCTCATTTTGGTTTCGGTTGCGCAAAATCACCCTTGGATCATCCTCGCTAAATACTTCCTGTGCTAACACCTTGTCAGTAAGGCACAATCTGCAGTAATGTTTTGCAGAAAAAGATTCAACATAACCAAGAATACCGTTTAGACCCAGGTTATCGCCAGTAATTTGAGCAATTGTACCAAAAATGGGCTCCTCAGAAAAAGACACCTTCATTCCCTTCTGCTCAAGAACTTTAACATCATCAATCAATGGGCCAAGTATTTTGTCCATGCCATACTTTTTTCCATCTTCAGAATGAAATAAAGAAATTAGATGTATGTTCATCAAGGATGAATTTACATGTGATGGTAGGTTACGAAGCACAAAATATATACAGCCAAGTTTATGGATTCCTTGTTTAGATCCTAATGGATTAGCTGTTTCAAAATCATCATAGTAAATTTGGATCTGAAGTGCATTATTACAGATGGAGTACAATGGATGCCTTTTGTAATACTGCCCATCACAAAATTCTCTATACATGTCACTTTGCCTTTGTTCTTGAATCAGTTTACATACTTCCTCATTTCTAAAAATGAACTCCAGAGTTTTGAGCAGAGGGATGTAAATAAAGGTGTCATTAACTGTTGTTTGTTCATACATTCCAGAGGTCGTATTTCTTCTTGAATCGTACCTGACTCCCAAGTGAATTTCAGTAGGTTCAACAACTCCCCATTTCTTGCTGAAATATTTTCTCCATTTAGTGTCTGTATTAAAATCTGAGAATGAATTATGAAAATTATTAAAAACCTCTTCAACTGAACTTCTAGTTGTGCTACCAACAGGCACAACATTTAAAATGCTCTCCCTTAAGTTAGTATGGAAATCATTAACAAAATCCTCCATGCTTTCAATAACAGACAAAATTAAATTGTTTGCAACACCATTAGCCTGCAATTTGGCAATTATGGATGCACACATTTCCCTTGAACTATCCCTTGAAAGAGAAGAACATTCAACCACTTGAGCATCATTATCTGTCATTTGCTCTGTGTCAGACACAAGTGCTTCGTCAGGATTTGGAGCATGCTGATTTTGAATAGATATGTTACCACTGCTTGATGCCACACCCCTAAAATGAAATCTGGTTAAATGTTTTTTAAACCCTGCATAACTTTTGAATTGTAGGAAGCAACCATCCTGAGCACAAACCAACTCAAACTTCTTGCCAGGATACAAACTATGAACAAGTTTAAGGTGCCGAATTAATTTTACAGTTGTAGCAAACAGTGATTTACAGATGTAGCATCTAAACATCATTCAGTAATTTAGCTCTGAGCTCCTTCACCCTTGGGGTTTCACTTGTGCTGCCAACATCAATTCTGTACACTGTGGTCTGGAGAAATGTGAACAAACCTTTAAGTGGAGGATCATAACTGATACTGAACACAAAATGGACCTTGAACAGTTCATCGATTGCCGCTAGTGAAGAGGATTCTTGACATGGGATGAGCTTTTTGTCAAGCACAATGAAGAACTGACTGATGGCTTCCTTGCTGCTTCCTATGGCAAGAATGTAAGGTTGACGATTGTCTTCTGTCTCGAGGTGTTCCTGAATACTCCGGCATGCCTGATTGAGGAAAAAAAAAGGCAAATTAAGCATTATCAGTTAACATTATGACTACAAAGTCAACATTAAATTGATTTTGCAATATTGCAAAAGCTGTGACTTAAATGTGTCATTTTGTCAGGGAAGCAATTCTGTGATCAGTTGTAAATCTCTGAGGCTCTCACAGGTTAAGTCCAAATAAAACAAAGAAATGAAATCCCTAGAGGTTACTTAATAAACAGAACATATAACCCTGATGTTTTAGATTTAGAACTGATTATAGAACCGGCTTTACTGGCAATATGTGCATCTTACAGTCATAGTTTGAGTCTGTTTAGCTCAATTGAACACTAAGATCAAAAGACACAGAAAATGATACAAGCGCCAACAAGCTTAATTCCAGTTTAGGTTTAGAAAATTTGATAAATCAAGCACTTCATATTACACTTATCTCATAGTGTATTATCAACTGGAGAAGTTAATGCATTAATTGAAGGTATAATGTCTACAGCTCTTGTATCATCACCAGTTACCTACCTTTTGAAAAACCACCAGATGGTCAATTGCCTGTGAGATGCTCATCTTCTGGATTTTCTTTCTTCCAGAAACTTGGGGCGACAAAAAATGCAGAAGTAGAAGAAAGGATGATATGTCACTGTCCCACTCTGAAAAAGACAAGTAAAAAGTTAAACATAGACAGTAAAATAACATTCAAAAGATTTTCACTGCACCATTACATCAGTTACATCTGTACCTGGGAAATCCTCTGCCTCGCTGCTTTCTTTGTTCTGTTTGGCAGATGACAGCAATCTTTTCAGCAGTGGAGTGGATGTCAAGGTTTCTGCTAGCTTGATAATCTTTGACTTGAAAACTGTTGGCCACCTTTCCAAGAGTCTGGAAGCCGTTTCTGACCCGAACAGGAGTGTAAAGTCCTGGAGAATCTGAGAAATCAGAAGAAAACATTCCATTACTATAAAATATTACAAGCTAAATGTGATGGTCACTATTTCACCACATCTGTGAAACTAACATTTCAATTAAATTTTTTTATATTTATAAATAAAATATATTTAAAAAGACAATTCATACCAATCCTTTCGTATCCAGAAATCGAGGAAAAACAGAGAGAATAGTGGTGGATTTCTCTGGATCACGCACAAGACGTTGTCTGTATTTAAATGTTGCCCTCATCTTCTGCATGATGACCTCACGGTCGCTTGTATGATTCATCAGAGAGATGGCCTCTAGACTTTGATCACTGTCCAGCTGATCTTCAGGGTGACACAGCTGTCGGTCAAGCAAAGGACCCCCCTTTTCCTCTGTTTTAGGATCATCTTTATTTCCAGAAGGTTTTGTCCCCCTTTGTACGGTTTTGAGTCGCCACGACAAGAATCCAGAGTTTTTCTGGCCATCATAAAAATGTTCCTGACATTAATAAATTCAAAAATTAATAAATTCAAAATGACACAAATTCAGATTCAACATTTAACACTCCATTAATATATATATATATATATATATATATAATGATCTTCTGACGACAGACAAGAACTTACATATCCAGTCCTCCCTTGGGGATCTCTGAGTGAGGGAAACAAGGTGATAATTCCCAAACCATACTTCTGTTTGGTAAGGCGGTGTGGAACTCTCCTGAAGAACAGGAGTACTCAATGTTACTTAACATTGATGAGAATTAACAAATGTTATTAAAATTTGTTCAATTAAATGTTTAAAAGATTAGCACTATTACATTTCTAGCACTCAACTTCACACTATACAATTTATAATCTATATAGTAGTCAACATTTGATGTGCATCAAAAAATGTTTTTTAAAATTGTCCTTTGACAAGAATGGGTGTAGTACAATATATTTAATACTTTGATAAAAGATTTTGATTCATTTCAAATGTTGACTATTGTATACTGCTATAACCATAAAAAAACAACAACATTGTTTTTCATAATTACCCTTCTGTCTCCATCATGTGGGCTACTAGAATGTTCACCATAACTTTTCTTGTCTCATCATTAATTGTCCCCGTATCTTCATACTCCCTCAGCACATTTGCTCCACCTGGTCTTGTCTCTAGAATTTGTTTGATCAACTATAAAAAGATATTAGCATTAACATCCTATTATAAAGGTAGAAATGCAGGAATATTGAAAATGCCATTTAAATTCAATCCTGATCTGGAAAAGGTCAGTACTATACACATAATACATAAATTAATGGAACTGATTATGTAAAGCTTATGGTTATGATACTGCAAGTAAACCCCCCAAATTGTGTACTTGCACTCACATCTCTGGCCTGTGAGTTTTGTGAAGCCTCATCCTCATCCTTTCTAAAGCGTTTTGGACTAAACCAGTCACTGTCCTCACTGCTTTTTGAAGTTAAAGAGAGTGTATCTGTATCAAAGCTGGCTGAAGATTGAGGTGTGGAGGGTCCTGTTAATGTTAAAACTGGGGTTAACAGGCAACAGGTTTTTTAATACTGGATCAAAATAAAAAGACAGGTCTAAGTACTTTAAAAAAAAAAAAAAAAAAACAACACTCAATACTAGTTTACATTATGGGACTGTATTTCTACCCACATCAACACTGCCGACATTAAATATATGGTAAAGTACTGAAAATTGGCAGCATTCACTTAGACACATCTTACATCATTCAATAGCTCCACTGTTATCACTCACCACTGTCATTTAAAGCATTTATAACAAGAAGCAGTCCACTGGTGCTCATTAGATCAGGAAACACATCTTCGTCCACCTCTGTACCAGTTTCATCTGTAACTGTAATTACAAGATCCTGTGGTAATGAAAACTTCTCTTTCACTGCAAAGGAGGGAAAATAAATATTATTGTTAAATGCTTTATTCACGTTTAATGATACGTATGATAGAGAAACTTTTTTTTAATAAATATATATTATTTTTAATACCACTCACCCTCTGCTAAAAATAAATCAAAGCAAGCCTCTGGGATTTTTATGAACTTCTTCTGGTTTCGATATTGTGCTTTGACAAGCATTGTCTTGACCTCTGGTGAAGCTCTTGGTGTGGAGAGAAATAAACACATTATATTTGGTTTATGTAATATAATTGGACTATAAATTGTAAGAATAAATAATTTTTCTATAAATAAAGACAACTTAAAGTTAACGTTCGTTGTTTTGCAGCACACTTACACGACAATGATATATTGGAGGGAGTTTTATGAATGTATTATCGTCTGTTTTGGACTCATTCTGACTACCGTTACGCGCGCTGTCTTCTTCTATTGTTTCCTGGCAGCTGTAATGTCTTAAGCTATAGCGCCTTGACGGCTAAACCTTGTTATTGCAATCTCTTACATTCGCGTAAGATTATGCCCTTACATTAAAATATCTGACAACAGTTTTTGTCGATAATGTAGATTAGTCGTTTCATTCATCTGAAGTCTTGAACTGTGTGTTTATATTCCACAACGTGCGTTCTATCACCGAAGTGAGCAATCACTGACTTTCGTTGCAGCATTAAAAACTTACCACGGTACTTTTTAACAGCGAAAACTCTCACCGATCCACGGTCAGTCGGCCACCATTCAGCAGGAACCCAAGCATGTACCTTGGATTAAAACAAGTTATAGTAGTTCAGCCGCTGTCTTTGAAATGTGCACATTTACTTGTTGAACACTACAAGAAATCCACACGCGATAGTTCACCTTGAATAACGTTACCTGCTAAAATGGACGGCGGTCTTAGCGCGCGAGCCTAACTACACTGTGCTTATGTCCAGACATGTGCATACGGTAAATAAAATAAATAAAGCAATCGCCGTGTGCGAGAATTATAATATAATAATATTAATATAAGCGTTATGGTGGCTTTACATGATTCATAAAATTGCTGATATAGGCTAACTTAATAAAAATCACGTCTGAATTATTTGGCTGTGTAACGCTTGATATACTGATCGTTATGAAAAAAAATGATTAAACTAAGATACAAAAACATATTATTTAATTTACACAATGAATCTGTATAATAAGATTTATATATTAGACTTACCAACTTTCTTCCACTTGCAGCATTTGAAATGGCGTCTGCATGTGGTCTGGTTGAATCAAAAGGACGTCTGCACGTTCATGGAGGTGTGGCCTGGTTAACGCTTAAGGAGTTGCCTTTGCAACGATATAAAATGACACCAACTCTTAATCGAAACTGACGCTTTTGGTGTTTAACTCAATCTGTATAGCGTTGACGCAACACTTTATTTTAACACTTTGTTGTAACACCAGTAAATCAACACCGGTAAATTTGCTGTGTAGATCATTATAATAGAGCCCAATATGTTTTATAACTAATTTCTAACTACATTTTTTGTCGTTGTAGTCATGACAATACATAATATTTAGCAATTTTTTTTTCAAGGTAAAAGTATTCAGTTTAAAGTGCAATTTTAAGGCTTAACTAGGTTAATTAGGTTAACTCGGCAAGTTAGGTTAGTCAGGCAAGTCATTGGACAACAGTGTTTTTTTCTGTAGAGAGTGGGAAATATCATTTTTAATGGGGCTAATGATATTGACCCTAAAATTAGTTTAGAAAAAATTAAAACTGCTTTTTTTCAAACTAAAACAAGTAGTTCTTTCTCTAGAAGGAAAAATGTCATAGGAAGGTTTTTGTTTTTTCACAGGAGGGCTGGTAATTTTGTCTTTAACTGTATTCAGATTTATTTGATTGCAATATAGGGTGTTTTTACACTCCTAGCTGATATGTTTGTTGAAACCACTTAATTTAAGAATTTCAAAATGATACTTTATAATAAGGTTTCATTTGTTAACATTGGTTAACTACATTAATGTGAAAACAGCAGTTATTAGTCATAAAGTTAATTTAAACATTTACCAATACATATTTAAATAAACATTTCTACAATACATTTTTGTACTTTTACATTTATTGATTGACCTGTAAACTGACATGAACAATGAAAAACTGATCAAGTAATGATAATTGAAAAAGAAAACCACAACTTCGAAGTTGTTCTCGAAAATCGTGAACTCTGTCTGCAAAGAAGAAAAGTAGAGCTAAGCACTTTCTGTCATTAATTTAGGGCAGAGGTTCCCAAAGTGGGGGTCGGGACCAACTGGTTAGTTGTGGGACAATGAGGAGTCGCCGCTTGTCAATTTTCAAAAATCTAATTCATTTTATTAAACTTTTTGAATTACCATATTTTGTCCAAAACCTACTGCAGAACAAAATAGTAGTTAATAGTAAATAAAAAGCCATTAGCCTTTCGATATTCTTTTGCGCCCCCTGGGGTGTTTACGTTATATTAAAGACACAGCAATAGCGTCAGATGCAGCAGATTGATTTTATGGCACCAGGTTACGGCAGTCATGTACTTTCAAAGTAAATATAGGCCACAACTGAACATGGAGGATGGTCTCCGAGTAGAGTTCTCCGAAATTAAACGTTGAATAGACTTAGACCTATTGGTATGTGCATCGTTGTGTGCAAGAATTATATATTTATAACCACCTTAGAGAATATTGGGAGTCATAAGTCACTGGCACTGTTATTTTGGGGGTCGTGAACTGAAAAGTTGTGATTTAAGGAAGCTCTGAAGTTTTTTTTGGTTGCTTATTTGGTCGCTAGGAGCAATGTTTTCATCATGTTTCTTGGATTAAATACAAATTTTCAAAGTTTTGGTATTCTTTTTGAATCACCTTGTATATTTTAACTGACATTAACATAGATGGAGCAAATATGTATGTATGTATGTATGTATGTATGTATGTATGTATGTGTATGTATATACTATACAACTATACTACTTCTGTTTTTCATTGTTCATGTCAGCTCACACATATATGCTGTGAGATTAGGGACAGGATATATAATTAATTTTAATATATATCATTTTTTCCCTGCTAGTTTGTGATAGTTGAAATGTTAACAAATGAGAATTTTTCATAGAGTGTTTGTGTTACTAATTATTTCAATAATTTTGTATGTCTTGATTGACCTCATTTATATTTCAACCGCGTCTGTATGATTGAATGTACTATTTATGTCCAGACATTTGATCAGTTCTACAATAATTTCAGCTTGGAATCGTTTTTGATTCTTTTATATTAGCATGAATGTTTACACAAAAATATTTCATGCGTTGTATTTCACTTGAGTGCCTTTTCCAATTTCAGCTTTTTAGAATCCGTTAAATGATGTCTTTTATATTTAACCTCAATGGCACCAGAGGTTTTGCTTTATTGTGAACATAATCCCTAAGGTGGTCATTAATGACCTCCTCTTAAAGGTGTTTTTAAGAGGATTTCATATATTTACAAAATAGCATGCCTGGGGTTGCTTTTATTATAAAAAACCTGTTACACTGTGTTAAAATTTCAAGGACATACCACAAATTATAAATAAATTGTTATTTTATTAAGCAGATGTATTAAGTGTTCTTATTTTACTGAATATATTGGCTTACATAATAAAATGTCTATTAAATAGTAGAATCTATGCAAAATAATAATTCTCTTTGGGAAAACTTACCTTGAAATGGTAAACGTCATTACTGTATATTGTGGAATTTAGCATGACTGGAAAGCTATTCACATGAATACTTGACGGAACTTTGTATCAGATTACACAATTTTATAATTAATGCCATGTAGTTTAAGTGATTCTCATCAACACATTGATCTTTGTAGCAAATAGTGCATTCATTGTATGGTGCTGGCTTTGAATTCTTGCACATTCACATGTAATGGCTTAATTCTACATAAAAAAAAAAACAGATTCATAATAAAAACCAGTTGAAGATATCTTGACTTGTAGCAGGAAAGGTGTAGGCTACTTTTAAGTTTTATGACCTTGCATTGCGTGTCATATGATTGCTGAAACCTGTACAATAATATCTGGGTGTGCGTAAAGGAGTGTCTTTCTTGGAAGCTTAACTGTTTAACAGCATTGCTTAACTGCTGTTTCAAAGATGTGCTTGCCAAGAACATTGCAAGACATCTTTGTGAGAATCCTGTTTAGTTAGTTGTACTCAGTAGCACTGCCCTCTAGTGTTCGATGAGTCTTTTATGTTGCCATTTTCTGGATATGCAAACACCAGTAGTGGCAATGATTTCAGTGATTATGAATTCCAGACCCTGCTTATTTATGTGCCTCTTTTATTTGACACATAAGGATAAGCTCATGGATCTTTCGGTTAACAAGCTTATGATCTTAATCAGGTGTGTAAAGTAAAGAAGATATTTAAATGTGCTGGGTGGGGGGGTCCCAAGGACTGGAATTGAGAACCACTGGTTTATGTAAAGATTTAGTTCCTGTTCAAGGTTGAACTGTCAAATAGTTAACTACATAAATCAGGGGAAACACATTAGATATAGAATTGGTCTTTATTCAGATTAACACTGACAGTAGTTACATCTTTCTCAAACCTGATGGCTTCACAGTTAAAATCACTTTCATTTCACTTGAATGTGAGGGGGAAATTTGATGGCATGCATTCACAATAGTTAGAAACACAAAACCAAACCAAATGTTCACAACTCCTCAAAATATCACTGGTGGGATGGGGGAAACACAGTCAATAGTGAATTCTGGATGTGAAAACCCATTTATTGTTCTGGAGAGCATTGGTCTGTGGTGAGGAAGATAAAAATGTGGGTGATGGAGTGAAGGGAACACCAATGTGGCAGGTTGCGGCAATTTATGCGACCTCCTCCTCGCCTTCCTCTTCGAACTCACCCTCTTCGGCGGTGGCATCTTGGTACTGTTGATACTCAGACACCAGGTCGTTCATGTTGCTCTCAGCTTCTGTGAACTCCATCTCATCCATGCCCTCTCCGGTGTACCAGTGCAGGAAAGCTTTGCGGCGGAACATAGCGGTGAATTGTTCGGAAATACGTTTGAAGAGCTCCTGGATGGCCGTGCTGTTGCCGATGAAGGTTGCGGCCATTTTGAGCCCACGAGGTGGAATGTCGCAGACGGCAGTCTTGACGTTGTTGGGGATCCACTCGACGAAGTAGCTACTGTTCTTGTTCTGGACGTTCAGCATCTGCTCATCCACCTCCTTCATGGACATGCGTCCACGGAAAACTGCGGCTACGGTCAGGTAGCGGCCGTGACGTGGGTCGCAGGCAGCCATCATGTTCTTGGCATCAAACATTTGCTGTGTGAGCTCAGGAACGGAGAGTGAGCGATACTGCTGGCTGCCTCGGCTGGTGAGTGGTGCAAAACCAGGCATGAAGAAGTGGAGACGTGGGAAGGGCACCATGTTGACGGCTAGTTTGCGAAGATCAGCATTGAGCTGGCCGGGGAAGCGGAGACAGGTGGTGACGCCACTCATGGTGGCTGAGACGAGATGGTTGAGGTCTCCGTAGGTTGGTGTGGTTAGCTTGAGCGTGCGGAAACAGATGTCATACAGCGCCTCATTGTCGATGCAATATGTCTCATCAGTGTTCTCCACTAGCTGATGGACGGACAGTGTAGCGTTGTAGGGCTCCACCACGGTGTCGGACACCTTGGGTGAGGGCACCACGCTGAAGGTGTTCATGATGCGGTCGGGATACTCTTCACGGATTTTGCTGATGAGCAGGGTGCCCATGCCAGAGCCAGTGCCTCCGCCGAGAGAGTGGGTGAGCTGGAATCCTTGCAGACAATCGCAGCTTTCAGCCTCCTTGCGCACAACATCCAGTACTGAGTCCACCAGCTCTGCTCCTTCTGTGTAGTGACCTTTGGCCCAGTTGTTTCCTGCACCACTCTGACCTGCAATCATTAAAATACGAATTGAGCATTAAAAGATCAGGAGTTGTTTCGGACAAGCAAGGCCAAGCCTTATCAACCGGACATCTGGAAATCTCAAAAATGACTGACTGGACTTACATTAAGACATATTTCAAATCAGAAAGGAACTCTGGCATACACTGACAAACTCTGGTTGTTTGAGTTAGTATGGATGTACAAATATTAAGTTCATGTCTTAAGGCTGGACCACACCACTTTGGTGTGACATCTGTCAACTGTCAGGCAAGTTTGTTTGGTGTGTTCCACACATCACCTCAGACTCGCATCAGAGAGAGTTTGAAAAATTGGTCATGTAGAATCAGTATTGGCTGTCTGTGAAGAGAACGCTCTGATTGGCTGTTCAGTTTCTAAGCAGAGTGCAAGAACAAAACTGAAGTAACTAAGCAAACAATGCAAGTCAAGAGGGAACACAAAGAATACTTGCTGTCATTTTGTTGCATTTCTTAAATATTTGCAAACAATATGGATTATTGTTTGCTGGTTTGAGCCCCGGCTGGGTCAGTTAGCATTCCTGTGTGGAGTTTGCATGTTTCTCCCCATGTTCACATTCATTTCCTCCAGGTGCTACGGTTTCTCCCACAAGTCCAAAGACATACGCTATAGGTGAATTGGGTAAGCTAAATTGACTGTAGTGTATGCATGTGAATGAGAGTGTATGGGTGTTTCCCAGTGATGGTGTGGAAAGATGCATCCTCGTACAAAGGAGCAGAATGCGCATTCTTGTTTCAGTTGACTATCTTGCAAATATCTTTTAGGTCCAGATCGGACTACACAGTCAGTCGGTTTTCATTGATGCTAGTTCTTTGACATTGGTTTTAGGTTTCTTTGAGAGTCAATGCTTCTACATCTTTACTCAGAGGCAAATGGCGGTGTTATATAGAGGTCTAGACTTACAGTATTTTGACATATTTTACTTTACTCATTCATAGTACCATCTTAAATCTTTAGGAATAGATCTGGCAGTATAGATAAATACATTTCTGTTAGTGTGGCTCAAGTGAACTGTACATCCTGAAAAAATGTGTAGCTAAACCTTTGGATCGCAACTTGGTGACTGATTGCAGTATAGGTCTTAAACTCTTCATTTAAACCTGGGTGTCAAACTCCGCTCCCGAAGAGCCACAGCTCTGCGCACTTTAGTTCCAATTCTGCTCCAACACGCTTACCTGTAGATTTCAAACAACCCTGAAGGACTCAATTAGTTAGATTGTTTGTTTAATTAGGGTTCGAACTAAACTTTGCAGAGTTGCAGCTCTCTAGGAACCGAGTTCAACACCTGTGATGTAAACAATTAAGATGTGAAGCAAAGTGTTTCCCAAAGAGGATTTCTGCCATTTCAGGGGGTACTATACTTCTACGTAAGCGTCCAATAAACATGTAAATGATCATGTGTTTAGGAAAGGGTTCTGTGGAGGTTAGTGTATAACTCTAAAACTCTGCACAGTGATGATCATGAGCTAGAACTGCAGTATTAGAGCTCTAAATGAGCATTTTAGCTTTACTTTTCAGTGATGGAAGGAAGTGGAGACTCATTGTTCATCTCTTTTGTTACTATCTATGTGCAACCCTGCCACTCCTGCACCACCCAACCTGCTCCGAGCTGGGATGGAACCGGCCACTTTCCATATGGGAGTTGGTTTCTCTAATGCCTAGTTCACACTAGAGGATTTTAAGCCTGATTTGAGCCCGATTTGGAAGTTAACGAGCTCGCCGACAGATCGGGCTGTGATTGGGAAGAAATCTGCGGGTGCTCGGCACTCGCCGCTCTTTATGTGTGAACTACTGAGCAACGCATCAACGAGGTTCGCTGACGCGTCGCCGACACCTCGCAGACGGAAATCCAACATTCAGCATGCTAAATATTCCAGAGCAGTCGGCCGACTCAACCCCACGTGTGGTCAGATGTAGTGACGAGCTGCAGCCAATGAGAGAGCATATCAGCATGAGCTGAATGCCTGTGTGTTCAGGAGCTCAGCAGAAACATCTGTGATTGGTCAGAATGGGCATCAGTGCACTCGCTTCATTCTGCGTTAGCACGGACATGGGAGGAGGATATATTAACAGTGGAACTAGAATTCTGTAACTATTAGAATTACCATACTGCTCATTCTGACTGTTCTCATATAAAACGCCAAATTGTCACAACATATTTACATTCAAAGCTATTATTGAGATATTAAAATTAAGCTTTGAATGTCTGGCATCATATTTAATGACACCATTACCCTAAAAATATAATATTTTTTTTGGTAATACAGCCTATAAATATGTAGTTAAGATACTAAAACACTTAAAGGCTTGGCTTTCATTTTCACTTTCAAAAAGGAGCTATTTCACAGCACAGAATATGCTGTTTTGAAAGATATCTGAAGTAAATTGATGTTTTTGCCATCAGAAAGTTTTGTTTATGTTAGCAGGAAGTTGCCAGGCAAGAAAATGCACACATATTTAAAGTCACAGCGAAAAGTATCAGACATGCATGCAGTCATTTTGACCAATATGGTAATTTAAGGCAGAAATGCTCAGTTCTTTACTGTTTTGTAATAAAAAAAATAACAATGTCAGAAAGAAATACACTGATAGTTAGAAAACGGCAGGGTGTTATAAATATGTTAGTTTTATTTCAAAGAGTTATAAAATTACAAAAATTAAAAACTCTGTGTATCTATCCACTGGAACCTTGCAGATGAGTGATTAATCCGCTCATAAATCAGCTGATTTGACTGTTTTTAAATGCTTTCTCCAAAGCTTGAAACGCTGTCAGTGATGTAATCAGCACACAAGCAGCCAATAGTGTTCAGCTATTTCTGACGACTCCTCCCTCAAATTTTCATTGGCTGTGGTTTGGTAGCTTGAATGAGCTGATGGGGAATGAGATGTTGTCAGATCATGTAGTGTGTGACCCCCCTCTTGTGGATCGTTCACGTAGTGTTGCGTAGTGTGAACACCACAGAGATCAAAAGACACAAAGTCAAGTCATGTAGTGTGAACAGCACAGCGATCTGCTGATGTTTAAAATCCTGTAGTGTGAACTAGGCTTAACAAGGATGCTAAAGAGCATGGCCTCTAGCGTCTGTCGCTAGATAACCTTTAAAGGTCAGAGGTGTGAGGTTTACATGCATAGCACTTTACTACCCGGCCTCCGCTACACTCACCCCCTAAACCTCAATCCTGTCTGGGTCATGGCACCAATGTAACCCTGCCGGTCCTACACCACCCAACCCGCTCTGAGCTGGGATCAAACTGGCGACTTTCCGTATGGGAGTCGGTTGCTCTAATAAGGAGGTTAAAGACCATGGCTTCTAGCGTCTGTCGCTAGATCAATCGCCTTTAGATATCAGAGGAGTGAGGTTTAACTGCACTTCACTTGCTGACCTTTGCTAACAATGCTGTGGGTGTCATATTTGTTTATAACAAAAGTAATGATGAAAAAAGTAATTAATAAAAGATTAGCTCACCAAACACAAAGTTGTCAGGTCTGAAAATTTGGCCAAAGGGTCCAGAACGAACTGAATCCATTGTGCCAGGCTCCAGATCCACCAAGATGGCACGGGGGACATACTTCCCACCTAAATGAACAGACAAATATAGTAAGTCATACGGTTGAGACATTTATTTCTATATTATGTAAATGTAATTGTCTGTGCACAAACATGTTCAAAAGTCTATTAAAGCTGTGTTGCCATTTAGTTTTTATAGAAGTAAATAGTGTTTTTGCCCTTCTTTTGTTTTGATGGGAGCAGTAATTGTGTTGCTTGAATTTTGTGTAAAAGCTAAAGAAGGTGTTAACCTAGATGATAACATGATTTTAAAAGTTTTTAAAATCTGTTTTGGTGTATTTTTTTTTCAGGGTTTAAAATGTAAAAATAAAACATACATTTTATTATGGATTTAAAATTTAGAATAATTATAAATATGTCTTGTTTAATATTATAAAAATTGTATCTGAAAATGTCTATATTGGCACAATGTTTGTTTATTTGTTTACTATAATGTTAACTATATTATTTTATTATATATTAAATTCATGTTTTAAATCAGCATTTTAAAATTTTACTTCATTTGTTACTTATAAATATATTTAAACAGTTCTCATTATTATAGATTTTTTTTTATTTCATTTTGTTTTGGTTGATTTGATTATTAATTTCAGTTAATTGCCTAAACAAATTTCTTTTACATATTTCATTCTAATTTCTGCCTAGCACAGTTTTTACAAAGTTTTCTTATCAATAATGCACATGTTCAGTATATTTTTATTTTTATTGTCATTATTTTTCCATTTTTTTAATGGTTACCAAATTTTTTACTTCAACAATAATGCTTCACAATCCCACAATACAAGATTGTCTCAGCCTATATATAACTACAAATTTCTGCTTTGCTATTTGCTATTCTGCTATTTAGCTATTATGCATGCTAATAGTTCATGAATCTGAAGCCAATGTGATATTTACAAAAATACCTGTGGCCTCATTGTAGTAAACACTGATCCTGTCTAGCTGAAGGTCGCTGTCTCCATGATATGTTCCAGTTGGATCAATCCCATGTTCGTCACTAATAACCTCCCAGAACTGAGAGAGAGATGGAGAAGGAGGAGAAACAACAGGGCGGATGCCAGAGAGAGGAGAGGGAGAAATAAACGGAGGCCAAGTAAGAATAAGCTCAACACTACTATATATATATATATATATATATATATATATATATATATATATAATTATTATAAAAAATGCAATAGGCATCAACAATGTGAATATCTGGTTTTAATGTAGGATGATGATTGTAAACAACAATAGTAATAATAATAATACATACATTTAGAAAAAAAATATTTTTACAGTTCAAATGTACATGGTGGTTTAAAAGAACGATTCACTACATAATGTTGGAATCTTGTAGATTATGCAAATTATATGGATTTTAGTGAATCAGAACAAATGCATCAATGTGACATTATTTTCTTTCATCGATTGATGAGATATAGGTCAGACTAGGATCCATTTGCAAGATATTACATGCATACTAATCTATATGGATATATTTGCTCTATATTACATAACAAAACACAATCCTTTTCCCAATATGCTAATTACTCATAAAGTAGGTCATTATCGTATACAGGAACAGTCGATCCCAAGTACCACACAAGCTTCAAAAACATTGGCTGTGTACTGTCTATAAGGTTTAAATCTAATAAATGTGCCATAAACGCATGGGTATAAGTAATAGAGCCAGCAAAAGAAACATTAAAGGAACGTTTAATTCATCATTCCCCGTCGTACAATGGATGGATGTTTCCACGCCCAATGGAAGCACATCTCAACCCACAATGAACCGATTATGCACAGCTGCAAACCAGAACTCAAAATCCCCTTTAAATCGTGCATCATGCAAATAAAACCTGCAGAATCAATTATCTGCAATGCACTTCTAGTGGATTCTTTAAGGACCAGATTAGTCGCCCTGAAGGACACCCTCGTGCACGTTAAACCCCCCATCCAACCAAGCAACATTTTTGGTTTTAGCTTTTACCTTGGCTCCGATCTGGTTGCCGCACTGGCCGGCTTGCAGGTGCACAATCTCGCGCATGGTGCTGCAGGAAGGATGACGGCGGGGATGCAGGAGTCGAGGGGCTGCTTCTTCTGCTCGCTAACGGGCTGAGCCGCTTTTTTTGTCGCTCGCAGATTAAACGCCGCCTCTGAGCTCCGCCACTGGGCTGAGCGTGTGGTGCAACATTACGTCATCGACATGGTACCCAGAGCCGAGGAGGAGAGGAGGAGGACCCGCAGCTCGTGGAGACCCCGGATTGGATGCTGCTAGTGATCAAGGAGCTGATAGGCCACTTGTGAAGACGGGTCCGAAAAATCGAGAATGTTTGCTCATCACTGGAACGAAGAGCTCAGTGGTAGTGTGCGGAGCAGGTTATACTGGAACAGAGGTCAGATCAAAAGAACATGAATAAAATCTGTTTGACTTTCTGTCTGTCTGTCTGTATGGATGGATGTATGGATGGGGGCAGAGGCGCCCACAGAAAATTTTCTTAGGTGTGGCCAAGTAAGGCCACACCAAATCGGTGGCACACACAAATAAAAAAATGAATTGTGTATATATTGTGGTTAATGATAAATGAAATAATGTCTGGTAAATGAAATAATGAAGTTTTAATTAATTCCATTAATTACTCTTGAAATATTACAATTTATTCCTTGAAATAATTCAGCAAGTACATGTGCAAACCAAATAAATAAATAAAAATAAATAAAAATAAAATAAAGAAATATTACTGTACTATAAAATTAATAAAAATTAATGAATTAATAAAACAAATATATGAACAAAAGACATTACCCCCCCCCCACACACACACACACTTACTACAGACCCTAGTAATATAATTTATCCATGTTCCTTTTTGAGCCACAATATATTAGTACATATTCTATTGATGTACCTTTTTGCAAAATACACCCACAAAATGCACAAACTTTTTGGCCCTTTTAAGTTAACCAGCAAAATAATGGAGTTGCTAAATAAACTAGATTCTTAAAAGCTGGTTTTAAAATGCATTTATTTAAATTTTCAATCAGATAAAACACAACTTTTTAATTTGAAAAATAACATTTTAAAGTTGCTTTACTTTTCAGTGATGGAAGGAAGTGGAGACTCATTGTTCATCTCTTTTGTTACTATCTATGTGCAACCCTGCCACTCCTGCACCACCCAACCTGCTCCGAGCTGGGATGGAACCGGCCACTTTCCATATGGGAGTTGGTTTCTCTAATGCCTAGTTCACACTAGAGGATTTTAAGCCTGATTTGAGCCCGATTTGGAAGTTAACGAGCTCGCCGACAGATCGGGCTGTGATCGGGAAGAAATCTGCGGGTGCTCGGCACTCGCCGCTCTTTATGTGTGAACTACTGAGCAACGCATCAACGAGGTTCGCTGACGCGTCGCCGACACCTCGCAGACGGAAATCCAACATTCAGCATGCTAAATATTCCAGAGCAGTCGGCCGACTCAACCCCACGTGTGGTCAGATGTAGTGACGAGCTGCAGCCAATGAGAGAGCATATCAGCATGAGCTGAATGCCTGTGTGTTCAGGAGCTCAGCAGAAACATCTGTGATTGGTCAGAATGGGCATCAGTGCACTCGCTTCATTCTGCGTTAGCACGGACATGGGAGGAGGATATATTAACAGTGGAACTAGAATTCTGTAACTATTAGAATTACCATACTGCTCATTCTGACTGTTCTCATATAAAACGCCAAATTGTCACAACATATTTACATTCAAAGCTATTATTGAGATATTAAAATTAAGCTTTGAATGTCTGGCATCATATTTAATGACACCATTACCCTAAAAATATAATATTTTTTTTGGTAATACAGCCTATAAATATGTAGTTAAGATACTAAAACACTTAAAGGCTTGGCTTTCATTTTCACTTTCAAAAAGGAGCTATTTCACAGCACAGAATATGCTGTTTTAAAAGATATCTGAAGTAAATTGATGTTTTTGCCATCAGAAAGTTTTGTTTATGTTAGCAGGAAGTTGCCAGGCAAGAAAATGCACACATATTTAAAGTCACAGCGAAAAGTATCAGACATGCATGCAGTCATTTTGACCAATATGGTAATTTAAGGCAGAAATGCTCAGTTCTTTACTGTTTTGTAATAAAAAAAATAACAATGTCAGAAAGAAATACACTGATAGTTAGAAAACGGCAGGGTGTTATAAATATGTTAGTTTTATTTCAAAGAGTTATAAAATTACAAAAATTAAAAACTCTGTGTATCTATCCACTGGAACCTTGCAGATGAGTGATTAATCCGCTCATAAATCAGCTGATTTGACTGTTTTTAAATGCTTTCTCCAAAGCTTGAAACGCTGTCAGTGATGTAATCAGCACACAAGCAGCCAATAGTGTTCAGCTATTTCTGACGACTCCTCCCTCAAATTTTCATTGGCTGTGGTTTGGTAGCTTGAATGAGCTGATGGGGAATGAGATGTTGTCAGATCATGTAGTGTGTGACCCCCCTCTTGTGGATCGTTCACGTAGTGTTGCGTAGTGTGAACACCACAGAGATCAAAAGACACAAAGTCAAGTCATGTAGTGTGAACAGCACAGCGATCTGCTGATGTTTAAAATCCTGTAGTGTGAACTAGGCTTAACAAGGATGCTAAAGAGCATGGCCTCTAGCGTCTGTCGCTAGATAACCTTTAAAGGTCAGAGGTGTGAGGTTTACATGCATAGCACTTTACTACCCGGCCGCTTTTTTTGTCGCTCGCAGATTAAACGCCGCCTCTGAGCTCCGCCACTGGGCTGAGCGTGTGGTGCAACATTACGTCATCGACATGGTACCCAGAGCCGAGGAGGAGAGGAGGAGGACCCGCAGCTCGTGGAGACCCCGGATTGGATGCTGCTAGTGATCAAGGAGCTGATAGGCCACTTGTGAAGACGGGTCCGAAAAATCGAGAATGTTTGCTCATCACTGGAACGAAGAGCTCAGTGGTAGTGTGCGGAGCAGGTTATACTGGAACAGAGGTCAGATCAAAAGAACATGAATAAAATCTGTTTGACTTTCTGTCTGTCTGTCTGTATGGATGGATGTATGGATGGGGGCAGAGGCGCCCACAGAAAATTTTCTTAGGTGTGGCCAAGTAAGGCCACACCAAATCGGTGGCACACACAAATAAAAAAATGAATTGTGTATATATTGTGGTTAATGATAAATGAAATAATGTCTGGTAAATGAAATAATGAAGTTTTAATTAATTCCATTAATTACTCTTGAAATATTACAATTTATTCCTTGAAATAATTCAGCAAGTACATGTGCAAACCAAATAAATAAATAAAAATAAATAAAAATAAAATAAAGAAATATTACTGTACTATAAAATTAATAAAAATTAATGAATTAATAAAACAAATATATGAACAAAAGACATTACCCCCCCCCCCCCACACACACACACACTTACTACAGACCCTAGTAATATAATTTATCCATGTTCCTTTTTGAGCCACAATATATTAGTACATATTCTATTGATGTACCTTTTTGCAAAATACACCCACAAAATGCACAAACTTTTTGGCCCTTTTAAGTTAACCAGCAAAATAATGGAGTTGCTAAATAAACTAGATTCTTAAAAGCTGGTTTTAAAATGCATTTATTTAAATTTTCAATCAGATAAAACACAACTTTTTAATTTGAAAAATAACATTTCTTTAAAAAAAGTGTGCAATCTCAGTAAATCAGTTACGTCAGTGGCGCTGATCAGTCTACAACAATTTAGTGGTTACATTTTATTAATTAATTAATGAATTGAAATATTGTGAATTAAGTAAGTACATTTAAATTAATAATATCAACAAATAAATCATATTGGGGTGGCCACAGGGATGGCCAAAGTTTACACAAGGGTGGCCGTGGCCATGCCTTGAGGGCGCCCCTGCCTGGGGGTAACTTCTCAAGGCAGACAGTCTAATGGATGCTACACACTGAATGCAATTTGGGCACAGACCTAGGACAGCATTTCTTCACAGAAAGCAGACAAATGCTCATGACTAAGGAGACTTCTGGTTCTGGTTTTATGGTCAGATGAAACAAAAATTAAATTGTTTGGCCACATATGTAGCCTTCATTTGGCATAAAAAAGGAGAAGTCTTAAAGAACACCATCCTCAGTGGTAGAACAGGGAACCTTACAGTAAATGGTACAATACATATACATATACATCTTCTCTACAACAACATCAGACATCAGACAGTCTACAGAGAAACTCTGTACAAGTTTCAGCAAAACAACGACCCAAATCATAGAGCAAAAGTGGTGAAGAAATGGTTAGCAGACAAAAACATTATTTAAGTTCTGTAGTGGCCTAACCAGAGTCCTGATTTAAATCCAATTGGGAATCTGTGGAGGTGAAATACATGTAATATTTTGCCAGGGGTGTAATTTCAGGATATATATATATATATATATACATACACACACACACACACACACACACACACCACACATACACTCAAACACAAACACAAACACACACACACACTCACACACCACACATACACATATCATATCACATAATCATTATTAAAAAAATCATGAGAAATAGTTTGTTTAAAAAATCTTGAACTATATTAATGATGTGATGTATAGTTCTGGAAACTTCCTACTTCTCAGTTTATCTGTCTGACTTGTCGTTTTCAAGAGCCTTGTCCATTTGGGGATGTGTGATTAGTCAGCAGAGCTGCGCGATGCGGTGCCAGGCGAAAGTATAAATCAGCCTAAAGATGTTTGTTTTTTTTCTTTTTGATCTTGTGATTCAAGTCTTAAATTTAATATGTAATGGTCTTAAAAAGATCTAAATTTGACATTACGATATCTGCAGAAACCTTGTACAGCTGTCGCCGCCCCTCTATTTTCAATAAATGATATTTTCCTTGTTTTATCAGGAGAAGATGGTAATATTCAATTAGTATTGCATCATTTAGGTGAAATTTTATTGATAACTGCAAAGTGTCTTAAAACAAAACCAAAGTAAATCTTTATAGTTGTTGAAAATGGTCGAATTGTGCCTCGTTGTATTTTTTTATACTGCAATAAATTAAAACACGTGACCAGAGTTCTGACGTGGAAACGTATGACGCGATGTTCAAGTTCAAAGATGAAAATAATAAAGAAAAACGGGGACATTATTTATTTATCTGGGTATATGGGCCCTCTGTTATTATACCTAATATTTATTAAGAGATGTTCTGTGTTTAATAACATTTAACAAAAAACTGTAGTGTACATACAGCTCCTGCAGCTCTAATTGACTTAAGGGTGAAATTGTGTACATTTAAATGACCCTCGTCATTCTGTCACCACGGCAACACGAGTTGGTTTACAAATCCACGCTACTGTCTATAGAGTGATCGATTCTGATCATCCCGCTGCACAACTCTGAGCAAATCTCCCCTCGGCTGAGTTACATCAGTTTGGAAAGTTGTTTTGGAGTTGTTGATGATGACGCTGCGACGCTCACAGAGGACCAGGACTCTCCCCGGACACCTCAGGGACTTCTTGCTGGAGCGACACCTGAAGAACGCGGCTGTCCTTCCTGCCCTTCGTCCCGCAGCCCCAGTCCCCCCAGTGGGTGAGTGTCTGCAGGAAGAGCCGCTCTCCATCCACGGCCGGAGTGTGCAGGAATACCAGGGCATCTACCGCTGTGCGATGGACTCCACAGTGAAGAAGCGTGCTGGCCGATACACCCTTCAGAAAGGATTGGAGGTAAAGCAGCGGCTGTGGGAGGAGCTGGGCCGGCCTGCGCTGCTGGAGACCGAGCAGCCTGATGGACGTGTGCTCATCACGGAGATCAGGTCCGAGTCCAGCGTCCCCCCTCAGATCAAGGTAGACATCAGCAAGGAACCGCTGCCCAAGGAGCCCCGGAGGAAGAGGCCCAGGCACTGAGCCATCCTAGTGCCAGATGAAGGATCATGGGCACGTATGTACATACTGTATATATTGTATATAGTTATAGAATAAGTTTTCAATTAATCAAATTGAACTTTTCATTCAAGTTTATCACATTGCTGGATGTTTTGGTGATTGTCCGTGCTGCTCATATTCGGCTCTTGGGTTCTTTTGGATGTTGACATGCGGTTAGTGAGGTTTTCTAGGCGGTTTCTTGCGTGTTGCTGGTCTCCTCTGAGTGGTTTTTGGCACATTAGTGGTTGTTGTTAGGGTTGTTAGTGTTGGGTTAGGGTAGGTTAGGGTCCCTCACATGGTTTGCAGCTTGACGTGCTGTGAGGGCTTGTGTGCATCAGTGATGCTGAGAGCTACGCCACTGGTACTTCACAGCTACCGGTAGGGTCACCCATAGTGGACAGGTCTCAGCTGAGATGCCTGACCAAGACAAACCACCTGATTATGGACAGCAGAAGATTGGCCTGATGCTCCAGACAGAACATGTCCCCTGTCACCACACCACGCACACACACACGCACACACACACAACACACACACACACCACACACCACACACCACACATACACACACACTCACTCACACACACGCACACACACACAACACACACACAACCACCACACCACACACACACACACACCACACACCACACACCACTCACACACACACACACCACACCACACACACACACACACACACCACACATACACTCACACACACATACACCACACACACAAACACACACACACAACACACACACACAACCACCACACCACACACACACACACCACACACCACACACCACTCACACACACACCACACCACACACACACACACACACACACACACCACACACACACTCACACACACACATACACCACACACACAAACACACACACACATACACCACACACACAAACACACACACACACACACACACACACACACACACACACACACACACCACACCATACACACACCACACACACACACACACACACACACACACACACACACACACACACACACACACACACACACACACACACACACACACACACACATACACACACATAAAAAACTAAAACTAAAAAATAGAATAAATCTTGCAGACGGTTAAAATTAAATGTTTATTGACAAAATATTTATTAATTACCTTAATTTATGAATATTTTTAATTATTTTGTTAAAGAAACTCTTATCCGTGTCTTGAAATAGGCGAGTTTCACTAAAACACATGAATGAAATGAATAGATTGTGTCATCAAACATGTAATACTTACAGCCCTGAAGAAAAAGAAAAACAAGTGACCAAGTCATTATTGGTGTTTCTGAATTGAATTCATGCAAATTATAGCAAAAATTCTATTTTAATGTTTAAAGTTGACTCAGAAAATACATTATTGTGTTAAATGTGAAAATAAGTAAGTAAACATTTACCAAAACTAGTCTACAATACAGAGAAATTGATACAGATTTAAATGGCACAAAAGTGTGTAAATGATGACGACATTATTTTGTGTGTGAACTCTCCCTTTATTTCAAAGAATAGAGTTTATTGCACTTTATTGCATTTTATTATGAAAAAGTGTGATTTTGATTAAAAATGAAAATAATCCTCAAAATAGAATCTAAATCTTCCAGCAGGTGTAGTAATGTCTAACCAGTGAGAGGATTCGCACAAACAACTGAATCATTCAACAAAGAAGTAAAGTCAGCGCTGTCTGGGCTGTTTAAAACAAGGATTCGTTCAGAAAGTAGACACACAAAAGTTCTTTTGAGGCTATTAAGGTAGGGTTTAATGATGTATTCTCAAACCTCTGAGTAGCCATGAGCATAAGATCTGAGTTCAGAGTTTTCATTAAAGAATTGGTATTGACCCAGAGATTACTCATAGCCTACTGTATTACTACTACTATTAATGAGGAGCGAGGCCAGACATTTTGAAATGGGGTTGGGCTTTAGTGCCTACTCTTATACTCTTAAAAGTGAAAAATAACTAGTTTCTTATATTTATAATCTCTGATAATTTAGTAATTGATTTAATGAGTGACATTTTTGAGCATCCAGTCCTCATTTTTAAATAAATAAACTGCAAAAATGTGCAAAGAATCTGAAATCGTTCACTTTGCCAGGAGGCCAATAGAAAACTGACATTGTTATTCAGCAATAAATATAAGCAATTTAATTCGATTCTGAAATCAAATTTATTTTTTCTTTATTAAGCTAGAAACAATAGCAAAAAAAACATTTATTATTGGCAACCACTGCAGTAACAGTGATCCACACAGTGGCCATTAGCTAGCTTGAGTCGTTGTTTATTTAAAGTCGATTTATTATTTCAAAGTAGGAATTAAATGCATAATTAGAAACAAATCTTGGCTTGGCATTATTCACCCCTGTAGAAACACTGTGCAGAATAAAAATGCTAAATCATTCTCTCCCAGTAGCTGGCGCACACAGATCAGTAATGATGACCAGTGAAGTATCTAAACTTTTGATTAATAAAGGGAAGTAAAAGTAGACTGAATTAAGCCCATAAATAAAAAAAAATAAGTTTAGATGATTAATAACTGCAAATAAGCAGAGGCCTTTATAAGCCCGTACTCTAAATAAATAAGTAAATAACACAAACGTTCACATTTATTTCCTTAAATAGTAACTAAGTAACACATTGAGCTACCTTTTTAAGTGACTTTAGATTGTAACGGATTACTTTTCCCTCAACAGGAAGGAGTTTCTCAGACAGGAAGTGGAGACCAGTACTTTAGGAAGCCCTGCTGCTGCTGCTGCTGCTGCTGAGTGTCTAGAGCACCTGCAGTCCAGATACTGGATCTCTGCTCACCTGCACTCGACTCAACTCTGATGCAGCACCAGGTGGGTCCTCATTCACCGTCACTCTGTGCTTTTGATAAATAAAAAGCTTTTGGTTCCCTTTAGTTTAGGCCTGTTTCACACACTACATGGCATTCATTGCAGTATGTAGTCAAAGTTATTAGCCCTCTTGTAAATTTGTTTTCTTTTTCAAATTTTTCCCAAACAGAAGAATTTTTCACAGTATTTTCTATAATACATTTTATTCTGGGTAAAGTCTTATTCATTAAAAGTATGTAGTAACATTTTATGAGCTGTCATCAGGGCAACGATCATAGAAATCAGTTATTAGAAAATAGTTATTAAAACTATTATCTTTCGAAATGTGCTGAAAATACATATATTATATATAAAGTTGTGCACATATTAATTGTAACATAAACTCACTGGCCACTTTATTAGGTACACCCTACTAGTACCGGGTTGGACCCACTTTTTCCCCTCAGAACTGCCTTAAGCCTTCGTGGCACCTATTCTACAAGGTACTGGAAATATTCTTCAGAGATTTTGGTCCATATTGACATGATAGCATCACGCAGTTGCGGCAGATTTGTCGATTGTTGACATGATGCTCAATTGGTACTAACGGGTCCAAGGTATGCCAAGAAATGATCCCCCACACTATTAAACCGACACCACCACCAGCCAGAACCGTTGATACAAGGCAGGACAGATCCATGCTTTCATGTCCTTGATGCCAAATTCTGACCCTACCATTCGAATGTCGCAGCAGAAATTGAGACTCAGACCAGGCAACATTTTTTCAATCTTGTTTTGTCCAATGTTGGTGAGCCTGTGCGAATTGTAGCCTCAATTTCCTGTTCTTAGCTGACAGGAGTGGCACCTGGTGTGGTCTTCTGCTGCTGTAGTCCATCCGCCTTAAGGTTGGACTTGTTGTGTTTTTAGAGATGCTCTTCTGCACACCTCGGTTGTAACGAGTGGTTATTTGAGTTACTGTTGCCTTTCTATCAGCTGGAGCCAGTCTGGCTATTCTCCTCTGACCTCTGGCATCAACAAGGCATTTGCACCCACAGAACTGCCACTCACTCGATATTTTCTCTTTTTCAGACCATTCTCTCTAAACTCTAGAGATGGTTGTGCGTGAAAACCCCAGTAGATCAGCAGCTTCTGAAATACTCAGACCAGCTCGTCTGGCACAACAATCATGCCACGTATAGAGTCACTTAAATTACCTTTCCTTCCCATTCTGATGCTCGGTTTGAACTGCAGTAGATCGTCTTGACCATGTCTACATGCATTGAAATGCTGCCATGTGATTGGCTGATTAGAAACAAGCAGTTGGACAGGTGTACCTAATAAAGTGGCAGGTGAGTGCACACTATATCTGCTACAACGTATGCCCACAGAACATTTGTTTTCATCCATATTTGAAATTTAGTGTCATGAAAGTAATTTTAAACAAAAAGTGGACAATTTACTTGCGAACGGCTTGCATGCTGTCATTATTATACATCAACGTCAGTGTGAACTCAAGTTTGTTTCTATATCTCTTGCAGTTACAGGTTTCAGACATGAACTTTGTGAAAAAGGCTCAGAATAAAATGCAGATATCAGTTTAAAATTAATAACAACATGTTTGTCCCTTCAGGTTAAGAAAAATGAATAATGCTGCCCCGAAGATCAGCAAGTTTCTCTAAGTTGACCAATGTCTTCATTCTGAAGGTAATGATCCTGCCGTCTTCCAGCATGGTAATGAGATCCAGAAGTAGATTCAGTTGTTTTGTCATTGCAGATTGTGGAGGAACCTTCTAGGAGACGCTTGAGTTTGATCCAGAATGGCTGGCCATCCTGAAATGGACAGACAAACCTTCAGAAACCATCCCGCAGTTGCTGGAACCCTCCGCTGGACAACAGACTACACAGCAGATACAAAACACTTGACAATGATCACAATTGCTCATTTTCTGAAAGCTTTCTGATACCACATATTCGTTTCTATTTCTAAATGTTTTAGCATCCTGTTCCTCTGCTTCTTTCAGGTGGGATTTCAGCCCTTCAGACAGACATCTACGTCCTGGTGAAGGGCAAAGTGAACAGACTTACAGGGAGGAGTTTTTTCCACTTCCTTGATGACTTGAAGTTTCAGAAGAACTGCATTTACGGGAATTAAAAATGTAAGACAATATAAATGACTTTATCCTCACTTTTGTTCAATGTAAAGTATCCTTCCCTAAATAAAACTGTTCATTTTAAAGTGTTCTTTGACAAAAAAGAAGAAAAGGGGAAAATATACTCATTCCAAGCTGTTAAATATTGTAATATAATGTTAAAAAAGCTTTGTTATCTCTTCATTAAGTTAGCTTAATAGATGGGGTTTCCTATAAAAATAATCAACTGATCGTGTTAAAATCAGAGATTTGACTCATTTTAGATTTTGTACATTTCTCTGGTAATTAGTCAATATATTTTTTTTGTTTGTTTCTTTTTTTTTTTTTTTTTTTGTAAATTACTGGTGAC